TGGCCTATACAATGACTTGCGGGGGCCAGCCGATGTACAAGTCAGTGTTTTTATCCTCCCAGACAAGTCTGGTACCAATTAACCGACCCCGGAGGGATGGAAGGCTTGGTTGGCCCGGGCGACTCACGACCCAGGATTTGATCCCCGGACCGCTCGCGTGGTCCACTTGCCACTACACCACTTCCGCCCAGGAAGAGAATGGACTGAAATAAATCGCTTTTTCAGCCTCATTGAGGTAAAACCCCTAGTATTTGCTCGAAAACAAGCGTAGCTCAAATCTTGTTCTGCAAATCCTTTTCTTCTTTTCAACTTTCCTGCCTGATTCCGGGTCGAGCATGTGAGCTCACCTTATAACTCCTACTCAAAATTGTTTTCAGTCTCAATATCACTCTGAAATCAGCGTAAGATCATGTATTGGGAAGCGCTCTAGACGCGTTAGACTAGACTGAAGTTTACGTGACTCGTTGGCTCGACGTTGAAGGTTTTTTGCTACGTTCTACTGCTCGAGAGTTGTAAAGAAAAATAAAAGAAATCCGGAAAAAATGGAGAAAAATTTCTGTGAAGGAGATCACGAAGTTGTCAGGAAAAAGTCGCCAACTTTTTCCGCTTTGCTGAGGTCCATGCTAGAAAGCCAACCGGTGTAGTTGAAAATGCATCCGAGTTTTCACAAGAAGCTAAAATTCACAGACATCTTCGTGGGTCAACCATAAGGGCTCTCCTATTTCGGTAGCCATCTACATACAGTACAAAAACAAACGCTGGCATTTTTTCTTTGGCGCTTAAACTGTGGTCCTTGGCATTTGAAGCCATGTCGCCACTATCAAACCTCCTATGCGTGAGAGTTTTTTTTTCATACAGGATCAACCGTCCGTTGGACAAAGTCCAACGAGGGGTGGGGGGGTCGTATTTGGGGGTGGAAAAGAGGGGGGCGTATTTCGCGAGGTAGCGTCAATGTTACAGTAAGGGAAGGGATGATTTTTTATGGAACGGAGAGCGGATTAGGTTGTAGGCTGGGATTTTGGGTTGAGTGTTGAGTGTGAAAATTTTGCCGTTTCACATTCGATATACCCCCCCCCCCCCGCTCGACGGCAATTTTGGAGGGAAAAGTGGGCGGAGTTGGGCTGTGTCGACTGGTCTCAGAATCAAATACTATAGAATCGCCCCCATGATGGCGATGGCAGGCGAGGGTGGTGGAGGATGGTCGTGAGGGGTTAACCCTGAGGGGGGTCGTATCGAGGCCCTCTAGAAGGGGGAGGGGTCGTAAAATTTTCGAAATTGGTCCAACGTGACGGTTGACCCTGCTTCCATAAACGCTCTAGTTGTGTATTCAAGCTTTTTTTAGGAGCTGCCTTGCTATGGAGTTCTCGTACGTGGTTTTGTTCGGAAACTTCTACTTCCAATCTTACATCAAAGGAGGCGGCAAAAAGTTCCAACAGGAGAAAACCAAGAAACAATAGAGGGAACTAGCCGCAGTCACCAGCGTCAGTGTCGTCCACCATGCAGATATATTGGTTTTACAATATAGGAATGCAGAAAAACTTTGTGCAGCTGCACTTGTGGTACATTGAATAAAGTGACTACTTGTACTAATTATCGGAAGACGTCTATTCGGCATAAGATGGCGCTAATTTGAGCGTGATTCTGGATTTCCTGGACCGTGCCCTGTAATCAGTCTTGTGATTTCAATATTACCACACTGAATATACGTTTTTAGCCAGCACCTTAGCAAGCATTCCGTTGTGAATGCACTCGAATTCGCCTTTATTTTCCATCAGCCACCCTTAAGTTCGTTTGGAGTTCGCAGTCAGCTCGTGCAGATGTACAACTTTGCGTAGCTCAGCATTCTTCATCATCTCCCGCTAGCTTAGGTAACCGAGCGCTGCACGCTCGCTGCTCTTGTTATATGTCGGCGCCATTCATTCTGTTCAAGGCATGTCGGACATTATCCTTGGACGACCAACCTCATGGCTCGCCAGTGGGCCACACCATGTCGGTCGTTTCGGTCCGTATGGCCCGTCCGGCGGGCCATGGCAACTGATTTCTTGTATTTCCTCCCTTTTGACATTTTTGGAAATTTTAGTTACTAAATATGTTCACAACACCCTAACAAGGCTATGTACACAGTGGTCCACGAATTGCTTTCTTCTAGGGAGGAATCCAGAAACAATAGGCCTAGAAAACACTTCTAATGGTTAAGCAAAAATATCATCATTACCCACAGAATAAGAACACAGCACATGTGGTGGTTTTGAAAAACCGGAGCAGTAATCTTAACTGCAATTGTTGCCACACTAGTAATATTCCTTGCATGGTTCAGTCGATAGGACCCAGTCGTTGCGGGCTTCACCAATTGTTTTGGTTTGTGAAAAATATTGTCATTTAGGTGTAATACAAATTAGATGTACTTAGGTTGTCTCATAATTAGTGTCGCTTTTTTTCAAACAAAAAGTTTTCTTCTAAATCCTTGAGGCTTTTACATGAGTTATATACCATTCGAAAGAGAATTGTCTGCTCTACAAGATGCCATGTTCTCTTCCATCCATTGTTGCAGGGTTTTCAAATTTCAAGCGTGCGAAATGGGAGGTCTAGCCGACAAAAATTGACCAAACCGACACCTATCTCTAACTTTATCTTCCTTGGGAGAAATCAATCATGATGATGTACTCTACTTATATTCTAAACTACAACTATTAGGTTTCCCAACAAGTCGCGTCATTCCATTTCCAGACCTGGTTTTTCAACCAGAACTCGACGGTCGAGCACCATTACCTGAGATCTAGGTCGAAATTTTTTTATAGCCGAGACATTGAAAAACTAGTAGAATTCAAAGAACAAGTATGATGACTGTTAGGAATGTACGACTGGTTGATTTTCTCATTTTCTCAAGGGATAATTTTTTTCAAAGAAATGTGGTCACTTTCGCGGTAAAGCACCTTATACCGAAACATCTAAAATTCGAACTAATTCCCAACAAACAGAGAAACAAAACAAATGAGCGAGTAGAGCAGAAGAAGTGCTCGTAAAAGGAACACCACTCGATATGGCGTTCTCAGAGGAACATTTTAATTTGAAAAATTGCTATGGCTTATCCGTCAGCCAATTCGAAAAGAAACGGCAAAGCTTTTTCGGCAACCTAAGGAGTGGAATGTTTAGAAGAGGTCATGACATGAGTAAGTAGAGGGTACATCATTGATTGATTTCTCCCAGGGAAAATAAAGTTAGAGCTAGTTGTCGGTTTGGTCAATTTTTGTCGGCTGGACCTCCCATTTCGCAGGCTTAAAATTTGAAAACCCTGGAACATAGATAGAAGAAGAACACGATCTTGTAGAGCAGACAATTCTCTTTCGAATGGTATATGACTCGTTCTAAAAGCTGAAGGTTTCAGAATAAAACTCGTGAGTAAAAGATCGAGATTCTGGTTGGTGAGGGCGACCCTGGCCAAAAGAGCTAGTTGAACCAGGTCCCTTCAATTGAAGCCACTAAATTGGAATTCAGTGCGTGGTAGTAACCGTCTATTTGAATAAAGTTTACTTGTTATTGACACCACAGTGACTAAAGAAAGAAGCTTGAAAGAAGCATTTGTATTCAAATCTGGTCGATTTTTGAATGCAAGTTTTGCGCAAGAAAACAAATTGTTTTCGGTAGCTGCAACTTCAACAGTATTATGAAAACACTTCTGTTACACTAATATTCCGAGTCTATTTTCCTTTGCTGGTATTTTCATCTCCGTTAGAATGTATGGTTGAATAAATCAACGACTAACCGAAGAAAGTTTGCAAATTCAGTCATGTTGGCTATAATTTGGAAGCCAAAAGAGGCTACGTGGTTACACGAGATAGAAAGAGTAGCGGACCGTCCCCCTTAGTATCTCACACCGGGAGTCAACGAGGTTCTCCTCGGAAGCCGGCGGTGTCAGGATTCACTAGCGACCTGACGGGTGAGGGGTTGGATGGTCCTAGTTTCCCCTTGGAGTGGACACTAGGAGTGTTAGGAATATTTATTAGGAATAATATAGAAAACAATACAGACTCTCACACCAGAGGAGCGTGAGGTCGAGCGGGTTGATATTAGGGATGGGAGAGGTGAAAGGAAGGTGTCTCGTCACTCCCAGAGTGACGGCAGGCGGCGGCTCGGTGAAGACGACGATCAGAAAGAAGAAGACCCCCACCTTACTACTTGGATGGCTTTTATACAGGAGGGTTCCCACCTAACGGTACGATTGTGTAGGGAGGTCACGGAGCTGCAGGCAGAACAACGGTTGGTGGTCATTCTTAATCCGCGAATCTCCGGGGCTGGCTTATTCGTAGATTCGCATGTACTGTAGCGACCTACCGTTACATCCCCCCACAGAAAGCGGCATCCCTGCCGCTTCACTTACTACAATGTCTAACTAAACTACTTTATAAAAAAACAACAACTCAATAAATACAATTTGCAAAAATTACAATCGGTAATTAAGGGAATTATTTCCTATTGACCTAGTGTGGGACAGTCAGGGCCTAATGGGGTCTGGAATAGCCGCGGCGTGCTCCACGTCCTCTTCCACGTTGATAATTGCCTCGAGGCGCGGTTGATGTTGACGGGAACATCCATTGGGGGTATTGGAGAACCGGAATTTGGGGCGGACACATTTGTGGCGGTACCATAGATTGCATCCTGTAGTGACTATTCCTAAATGGAGTAAAGGTGCCTCGATTTTCCTTTCGAAATTCCTGCAGTCATTTGCTTCTTTTGCTTGAAATAGAGACGCGTTCGAGAGGAGCGGCTCCTCGTAGCGCCTTCCAGTGGAGGTAAGTCTACCTCTGCCTTGACGTATATCCTCAGCGCGTCGTAGTACTCTTTGATCACATCTCTAGAGTATGCCTCTGCGCTGGAGCTTCTTGGGTGAGCTCCAGGTCCATGCGATGGTTCCTGTGACGATTCGATAACCGGAATAAGACATCGTAACCCGTGTTTCATGAGTACTGCTGCGGATTTGGCCAGTTCGATTGTGTCTATCATATCAGTCTGTTTCGCATGTACGAGTTATCTCCTCTAGGAGGAGCAACAGCTAACACCTTAATGCCCGTACGAGCTGCCGCGGCTAGTGATGAGGCGAGTTTGCACCAGTCGCGTTTAGGAAGGGGCTCATCTGTCGTCGGGCCCACTAATACACAAGTCCGGGCGACTGCTCTCTCCAGAAATCCTGAAATCTCACTGAGTCTGGTATACAGTCTGCGCTCCACGTTCTCGTCTCTACCTGAACGCTCCGGTAATGGCACGAAAACTGTCCGGTAGGATTAGCAGCGTCTTATTCGGTTCATTTCGATTCACTTCGTCCCAGTTGTTTGCCTGTGCATATCGAACGGCCTCGTTGGTTGCTTGGTTGAGTTGGTCCATCGGCCAGCCTGTGCCACCGTCGTGGGCGAGACAAAGAGAGGACCCGTCGTAGAGGATCAACGACCGAAAAACGTGGTCACAAAACTTCTTGTAAAACAAGTAGGCCTTTTGCACTCCAGTGATGCTGATGCTAAAGTGTTTTTGGTCTAGCATGAGGAAACGCTTCCGTTCCTCATTCCTCTCATGGTCATATATGGACAACAATCTGGCAAGGCTAAATATCGTATCAAAACGGAGATTTGCTATCGCTTCTGAGGCGTTCGGCACCACATCCTTGAACGTTTTCTCTTGAATCGAGCACGAATATCTGCATCCATCGCCTTCTTGACCATGTCTCCCTGGGCAGCGGAAGAACAAACCAAGTGGGCTTGTGTCGACACCATCCGCTGTAGCCCTGCAAACAACGTGATTACTATTCGCTTGGCGCCGCCTCTTTCTTTTTGTTCTGGTTGTTCTTACTGAGTTTTCAACTTCAATCGGAACTACGATCAGTGCATCAAATGGAATTCGAATGGGCTCCTCCTTCTCATTGATATTAGATATTAGCGCTGAATTTTCGCTGGTCTCGATAACGCGGTATGGCCCTCCCCAAGGTTCACTTAACTTTGGGTATTTCTTACCAGCTTTTTCTCTTGGAAGCTTTAGGAACACCCTGTCTCCTACTTTTGGCAATTTATCCACATCAATCTTGTTCCTCTTATCATATTCATTTTTCATGTGCGTTTTGTATTTGTCATTGAGCGCTTTGGTGCACTCTTGCGCCAACTGAATGCCTGCCAGGAGCTCGTGCTTGTAATCATCTGTGTCGAGGTGGTTGAAAGAAAAGCTGATCGCGAGGAATCACGTTTGATGGGCAGTTGGGATCGAACGCATGCAGTAAATAGAACGGACTCTCTCCTATAGCATCATGTGGAGAAGAGTTATAAGCAAAGACTACCATCGGTAACAGCAAAGTCCCAATCAGGCTGGAATTATAGTTTTCTTCCGCAGCATTCTTGTTAGCGTTCCAATAGCCAATCTGTTCGTACCAACTTCGTGGGGATGTACCTTTTTTGAGCTGATTGTTAACACGTTGACGACAACGCGCGTTTTGGGTTTTTGCACCGCGTGGGACCACGGCGATTTTGCAGGCGCCGCCGCCTCACATCAAATCCGTGAATTTTGAGCTTTAAATACCCAAAACTCGGATGCAACAAAATGTTAGAATGATATTCGATGTGTCAAACTTATCAGAAGGGACAACTGTAAAAAATCGATCGAATTGACGTTTTCTGGCGATGAAAGGCAAGTTTCAGTTGCTTTTGCTGCAGTGAACCTCAGAAATTATTTTTGACGCGGTTGCTCCACTAAAAACATATGTCTTGCTATATGTGTGGGTCTGTACTTACTTCTACTGCTCTTTTTTATGACCAATCAGAATATAAAGGAAACTAGGAATGAACACAATTGGGAAATTCGTAGGGCTTAGAAAACCTTCGCTAAAAAGGAGCATATTCAACCATTCAATGAACCTCGCCGTGTCTAGTCATATTATGGTGTAGTCTATGGAATAGATGCAAAAAATTAGAAAAGAAGTAGCGCATGCGCGAAAAAAATAAATATTTTGTGTGTGCAGCGCATGCGCTGCACACGGTCCCACACGGTGCGCAAGGTGTGATGCGCATGCGCTGCACAATGTCGTCAACGTGTTAATTCCTGTTATTTCACAAATGCCTGACAACACTGAATTGATGAACTCAGGGCCCTGATCTGAGTGTATCTGCTTAGGCCACCTGCATCCGTCGCATATCCATCTTTCAAAGAACGCGCGAGTCACCGTCTCGGCGGACTTGTTTGGAATAGGATAGGCGCCTACAAATTTCGAAAAGTGATCTATGACCACTAACGCATATTTGTTGCCTCTCTCAGTTAATCCGTACTCCACCACACACGTCATACACCCACAATCTCTACGTACACGCTCGTTTCGCGTTGGTACACGCTTCAACTCTCACACACCAACAATCACAACTCAGCTTCGCACACACAACAAAAAAACTTCACACATATTCAGGCATTTTTGTGATATCGGTCTCCATACCTTCCCAAAATACCTATCTTTTAAGCTGACGATACAACTTCCGTCCCATTGAGGTGCACCGCCATTGCACCACCCATGGGCTTCCTCAAACACAGCTCTCCGTTTTGACTTCGGTACCACTCTTACTGCTGCATTTCCGCACAACATTTTAAGGTCACCGTTATCGATACAGAAGTCTGCAACCCTGAATCGCTGCGCATTTCTCGGGAGCTTAACTTCCTTGTGATCTTGTTTGTGCAACACATCGGTGATGAGCTGTTTATAACTGACTCTGGTAGCTGTTACTTGACTGCTTCAGTGGCGCTCGTGATGTAGAGGAGCCTTCGTGGCTCGTGTAGGAGAAGCCGAGTGCTCAAGTTCGGAGAGCCTGTGTGGCTAAACTTGATCGAGCCTGTGTGGCTCGAGTTGGGCCTTCGTGGCTAATAAATGAGCCTTAGTGGCTTGGAGTAGGGAGGAGCCTGTGTGGCTCGAGTTACAGAGAGAGGGACCCGTCGCCCGTTGGCTGGATCTCCAGGGGAGTGCGCCGTGTCCACCTCAGCGCCCGCCCCCTTATTCGTTTCAACTTCGTCTCCTACAGTCAAGGTTCACTCCTGTCGACTTTCTGAATACTCGCCGGCCATGCACGATCATTATTCCATATAATATACAGGGGGGGCCAAAAAAAAAAGACATTTTGCCTCCACTTCCAGATGGATTTAAGCACATTTTACTCAACTCAGACCGAACGGTTCCAACTTATTATTAAAGAGTGCATTCCATTCTATAAGAAAATCTTCATAGTGGCCACGTACGTGGACGGCATCAGAAGAATTAGCCCTGGAAACATGGTGCACTGGTCGATCTCAATGGGGTCTTCGAAGGATCGTGTACCATAACGACCCTTACTGGAAAGCTAGTTCCGAGGGGATTTGCACAGTGGTAGCTAATGCCTCTAGAAAACTATCCAACATTAAATCGATTCACGAAATTGCGTAAGAGCTTCAGGCTGAAGCTCTTACGGTAGACCTCCTTGAGCCTGACGACGGTGACAGATGACGTCATATTCTGAAGACGGTGAGGGCAGTGAAGGAGAGCCTGCGTACACTAATAGAGGAACACTTAGGGAATACTCTGCTGAGGAACTCCCGTCAACGACAGCAATCTCTGCGAAGAAAAAAGAGCCGAAGTCCGACATAGGCAAAATGTCTTTTTTTTTTTGGCCCCCCCCCCTGTATATTGTGCAATCATTGGCATTATTCATAAAGGAGATGGTTCGAGAACACGCTACGAGGATGTCTCTCCCAAGCTCTACACCGGTCACAAATTTTCATGTCATTTGGTTTTCATTTTTGAGACGAAATGTCACTGTTTTCATGAACCATATGGACGACTCTTCTGTGTAAGAGTGAGGGTTGCAGTTACCTCGTGTGGCTCTGCTATGGATGTTGTCTACGCGCCGTAACACCACACTCTCGAAGCTCAACTCCACTAAACACACCGCAATCTTTCGTCCAGTGCGAGGTATGGGTGACGCGTTACGAAACATCGAAGCCGTCGGTACGGCTACGAAAGGGAAGGACAAATTCGAAAATTTTGAAATGCCACTGAACGAAAATGGTTAACATGGTCAAAATCACTTCAGTAATACACTGTTCATTAACCGCCCGAATGATTGACACTGTTGCATCATTAATTTCCACCAACATTCATTTAATTGAAAAAGAACAACGTCATATAGAGAAAGGTTTGAACAACCATGCTCACCTTCTTTGTGTTGGATACTCACTCCAACACAAGCTCAATCGTATGGGCTAACACGTTTCGTCCCTAAAATCAAAGTGATTGAACCGTAATTGAGTAAAACAGATTCAAATGTACCGATTCAAGACTCTCACAACTACAAGAATGAAGTCGGGGTCAAGAAGGAGCATATAATGTGCGAGAGAAGGCAAAACAAGAAAAAAAGCGTTTAGAATTAAAGCAAAACAGCTAGTAAATGCTTTAAATTGCGGAAAAATTATTTAAAAAGAGACGTCGATTACGGTAGGCGAGTGGCGGCGCAAGTGGTGCAAATGCATCCAGCAGAAGGGCCAAACGGGCTGGTTTGCTTACTTCGCACCGTACTGAGCCTTTTTCTTCTATGGATCACATTCAAGACTGGTGAGTTAACATACATTGACTCACGTTTTTTAAACATCTGCACCTTAACTACTGCCCCATGCTTGGGTGAAATGTTGGTTGATCAATCATCATCAAGAAATGAAGGCGAGGAACTAGCCTCAGACAGAGGTCATCTACCTTTGACGATATTTCTTCGCTGTTGATTCTTTTGATACCGCGAAGTTCTCTCGAGGAAGGAAAACCTGTACTATAATGTTCTTCTTCAATTTTTTTCCTGAATGTAGCTACATTAAAATGATAATCTGGACAGGTACAAGTGCGAGAATTCAAATCTGTCAATCAGTTAGGTGGTCGGGTGCTGGTGGTGCACGTCTCATCATAAAATCTTTCCGGTCAGCACTGCGCTGAGTTCGAAGAGATATCCTATAGCAAGGTGCACATTACGAGAGATCAGCAGCAGATGAAAAGCTCACTTAAATGTTGAGGAATATGGGTCTTCAAGCGTCGATCGAAATAGCTCTCCATCGCACGATTCCGAGTCGCTCACAGCTAGTTGGCGTGTTGATATGTCCTTCACAGGTCGCCCGCCAAACTACGCTTCAGTTCGACTAGTTAAGGTTTGCTCATTCGATCGGCCCACTACTCGCATTTTCTTTTCTTCTCCCCACAATTTTCAAAGGGCGTCATTGAAGGGAAAGTTGGAAGTCCAGGAACAAAGGCTGGAGAGTTAGCTCCAGTTGGCGTTGAGTGTTGTAAGCCTTCAGAAGAGTTTCTGACGACTACTTAGATAGGACTCGAAGAACGGTTCCGATGTTTCATATACGGTTCATATGGACCCATCGTATAACTTCGGAAGGGAGACGCTCGTGGCGGCGAGCGAATGAAGCCACCTTAAGCTATTCTCCGCGCTACGGTGTCAGATCACCATTCAAGGTTTACCATCCAAATTTCATGCTCTTACTCAGACTGGGACACAACTCTGTTCGCTGTATCTGTATTTAACAATAATTCTTGAATGGTGTCCTTGCCTGTGCTGATAAATGCTTAAAAATGGACGTCTAGAACACAATTGATCTGGCTTCACATCAACGAGGACGTTAATTCATGTCATGTGACCCTGTGCCCATGAAGTACTCCATACGCAACGAATCTAATCCTAAACCTATGTAAAAAAATTTGTGAGGATGGTAATCGGGTTTGTTCAGTCGACGGTTGGCAGTTGACGTGTGGTGCCTGCAACGCACTCCACACCACTCACACATTATTATCACGATGAGGTTACGGTGCTTGCGTTAGTACCGTGCAAAACGCTCGTCCTTGTCATAATTTGCTCAAGGGAGCTTCATTTCATTTTTCTTTGTGTGCACGCCGGAATATTTGTAGATACTCATTTCGATGAAAGGAGGGGGGACGTTCAAGTAAATGGGCCACTTCAACACTGGGACTAGGCCTTGGGATGGGTATTGAGGCGATTAGTGCTTTCCCTTACACTTCTGCTCTCTCCTGGATTTAATTCTAGGGTCAGCCACCGTCCACTGTTTTGAAAGTAACTCATAAGGACCGATGAGCGCCTTTTGTAAAACTCTTGGGCCATGACCCTGATCCGTTCCATTCTGACCACTTCGACTTAACGAAGTAGATCGTTTTGCTATATCCGACCTTCCGACCAGGAAACAGGGACGGTCGCCCCAGCAAAGTACGGGGTGGGGCGAAAATTACTGGTGCCCTATACGCTTTGGATTTTTTTCGTTCTAGCCTTCGTTTTTCCCGTTTAACCTGCTTGTGATTGTTGCTTAAACATTGCGCAACACATACAGGTAGCCGTCAAAAGTTTGGAAACTTTTTTATTTTTGATCTAGCATAGCCGATAGAGAACGAAATTGCCCCGAATTCACAATATATTATACACAGAATCAAGTGCAGAATACGATGAGCAACATGATTTCTTTGAAAACGAGAATCGCAAATAAAAAATAAGAATTTTTATAAGAAACGGCGCGTCAAAAGTTTGGAAACTTCTCAATTCCAAAGCGAATTCAGGCAAAATAGCTCTCGAATCTACATGATAAATAGTATTCGATGAGTAGCTGTAATTCTATGTTAGCATTGTTTTTATTGACATGGAGCTGATAAGAACTTAATTTTAGAATTTTTAAGACGAACCCTACACATTGTGGACTAAATAACATTGTTTGGTGGGGTTCTTTACTGGAAAAGGATTGAGCGACATACCAGCTCTTCTGTGGGATGAGAACTCGGTTAGACTTCAGATCTTGACTTGGTCGCTTCATAACAGCTTCTTTTTCTGGGTTTAGGAAGGCGCAGTGAGGAGGTAGGCCTGCATTGGGTCGTTTCCGCGATAAAAAACCCATCTTTTCCGGCTAGTTCTGACTATCGAAGGGAAGCATTGTATTCTACAGACTATCCTTGTATTTAGCCTAGCCCACATTTCGCTGGATACTTAGAACAGGGAATCGCCGAATGGTCGGACATATCTTCATCCATGACAATGCTTCCACTATTTCTGACTGTTAGAACTCTGGTAGCTAGAATCAGGTTTCCTGTTGATAGAACACTTCACAGGGTCCATAACATCATTTCCAGGAAGACAGAAATTCCACTCGTCGCTGAGGACAAAGTTTTACTTCTCGCCATCGGCCCATGTTAGCCGTTGGTGTGCGGGGGCCAGTTGGGCCATCCTGCTCTTGTAAGCCAACAATGACTTCTTGTTGGGACATCATCCGTAATATTCACCAGGTCGCGGCCAATGTTGTGCTGCACTTGGACTTTCATATGATTAGGAGAAAACTGAAAAAAGTTGTCTCTCAGTTGGGAATGTCGGGGGTACGGGACGTGCCAACCACCCTTCCGAAGTATTTGAGGAGGGCCAATTTTCTGGGAGGATACTTTTTTGTGAATGATCATTCTTTTTTGCTTATTCGACTCCAATAAATCTAGAAACATTCTGGGCTAATATTGCGTTCGTAAGAGACTGTGACTACTAAAGGACGGCCGTTTAAATTTTGCTTTCCGGATTGTAGGGTTTGAAGAAGGACCTCCCCATGAAAAAACTGCTTTCTTTGCATATGAATTCATTTTGAAATTACACATTACTCAATGGTTGAACTAAAATTAACAGAAACAAGTAAACATTGAAGAGTAGG